AAGAAAAAAAATAAAAAAAATAGCGCCTGTAATATTTTTATAAATGTGTATGTATTAAAGATCTAACAAGGCCGGTTTTATTGGAGCAAGCTCTGTGCACAGATCAGATAAGAGAAAACTCCTATCAGGAAAGTTTCCTGCCGACAGAGAAAGCCCATCACAGAGGAAGTATCGGTGTTTCTGGTTCACAAATGCAGCTCAGGGAAACCGAGTGATTCCCCCAGGGGTACACAGTAAATCTGTGGCAGAACTAGGAAATTAAATTGGATCTTCTGACTCTCTGTCCAGCGCACTAACCACCAGTGCATCCTTCCTCTTCATTAACATTTTTGGAACCACATGAAGGAACAGCGGATCCTTAAGGCCACGATACTTTGCAAGCTGGAATGCACCAGCAGCATCTGCACACCAAGCAGATGCGAGATGCTGCAACTTCAAAAGCGGTGCAAGCTGGTAGCCCCACAGATCTGCTCACCAAATGCAACCTTCCTGAAATCTCTGTAAAGTGCCTATCCATCTGGCTTCTGAGCCCAGACACTTCATGTTTTTGTATCTGCCTGCAAAAGATGTGGGTAGTTAAAATACTAACCCTAAATACTTCAATCAGAAAAGACTGGCAAAGGCAACCCCAGAATTGGTCAGCAGGGTCTTACACACCTCATGCAGAGTAAAAAAAATATGATCTTTCTTTCACCGTATTGTCTGAGCTACTGTTACAGCTACAGGCTCTCAAGCTAGCTGGGAAAAGGCAGAACGATGCATTAACTGGCTTCATGCTGCTTGCAGGACCACACTGGAACAGGAGGTGCAGGAACAGCCTTTGTCAGAGGGGATCCACCAGCAGAGGAAGAGGCCGTCTGACATCACTTGCCACAAATAGGGTTACGAAATCAGAACAAGGCAAAACACACGCTGGCTATTAATGGGAGGCCTGTTGTGGGCCAATACATTGGGAGGATTGTTCTGCAGGGAGCGATGTTTTGAGCTCCCAGATCTGCCAACGATAGAGTCTGCAGGGAATCTCCTCCATACAAATGCCACGGGGAACATCTGGCTTTAAATAACATTCGTTCTTTTCCATTCAGCAAATCAATTCTGTTTTGTTTTCGCCTTGGATAGTCTTCAGTTATGTTTCCTCTGTTGCTTGGGAGGGCAAGGCTAGTGTGTGTGGCCCTCCTGGGTTACCCAGTTGGGTAACTGCACAGCATTTAAATTGAATTATTTAAATAAAGGAACAGAGAATGGCATGCCATTTATACCCCAAATTCTCCTTATAAGGAGAAAATGCAATCTGAATGAAAACCGCGTATGCTAGTTCACTCAGGAGGCTAAGTAAAGTGAGTTCTGTGGCTCATTCAACTGGGAGAAGCCCAGCACCTTTCATAGGCAGGGTAACATCCACCCAAGTCAGGTTGTGTTTTATGGCTTCTGTGATGTAAGTATATGGTCCCTCATCCCAATGCTCCTGGTCGCAGGGGACAGCGGGGATAGCAAGAGGGTGTTTTTGTTGATGCTACATCTCCGTGGTGCATATGTCTCCGGTACTTTACCTAGAAAAAGGAAGGGATGCTTCCCTGGCTTATAGGATTGAGTTGCGCAGCCACATCAAGTTGTTTTCTGGGGTGATGCAACATGCAGCCACTTTTGCATGTCAACACATCTTCTCATTTCAGCATGATCTCCACTAATGGAGCTAGGAGAGGAAGGTTTATCCCAAACAGCTTGAGCTGCTTCCACCCCATGAACAGAAAGAGATGCCTTGGAAATCAGTCCTCCTCACCAACTCTGAACTCATTTAACAGGAATCATGGGACCAAAATACTTCTGAGCCAATACACAAACACAAATCTGTTTGCTGCGGTAGGAAATTAGCTCTTCTCACACCAAACACCCAGATGGCAAGTGATGTCATTTGTATATCCATTCAGGCTTATTTAGACTGCATAAAATTAAATCCAACCCTTCTGAGGAAAGAAGGGGGAAAATCATCCCTCCTGCTTACTCACCCACCCAGAGCCGCTTTAAATAGAAATGAAGGGTTTAGTCACAGAATAAAGCAGGGAGACAGGCACTCACTGTGCTTTGTAACCCTTGCTCCTTGGGGGCAAGACAGCAGGGTCAGGACTCGGGAGAAGGTACTGCATCGCTCAGAGCAGCTCAGCTCCCTCACAGACCTCGGTGAGAGAGAGGAGACACAAGGCAGCAGCATCCACCGCAGGTCTGAGTCTTGCTTCTTGCAGCATCCTCTGGCAGAGTTTTCAGAGGCGATTGCAACTCCCAGCCTAACCCAGACTACTGATCTCAATTCCTGTTCGGATGCCAGGCTGTGAGTTACAGCATGAGGAGTATCTATTTCACAAGCAGGGAGCACCGTGGATAGCTGGAGTCGGTAACCTCTTTGGCTACTCCAACTAAATCCAACAGGGCTCATGAGTCAGAGACTTCCGTCAGGACTCTTGGAATCACTTCTGACCCCAAGAAGCAGCTCAGCAGAAAGCACCAAGGAAAGATGGCAGCAGCTGGAAGGAGGACACAGCTTGCAGTCTTCAGAGGGATTCATTAAATGGAGACAGCATGGAATTACTCTGCCATGAAGGCACATGGCTCAGTGTGGTAGAATGAGCGTGAAGAGAGAGGCTCTAGGCTGAACAGAAGAAACGGCTCCTGGCACTGATATGACCACTGAATACTTGTCTGTGGGAGATGAGGCAGAAGCAGTTGCTTGGGACCTTTTAAAAAAGAGCCTGGACAATAACACTGGAAAAAGAAACCTCTCCTGTAGAGATGAAGCTTACGTTGGCAGGGAGTTGAACTGCATGAGCTAATAGGGTGCTTCCATCCAAGGGAAATAACTTACCCTTTTTCCTGGCTTGAGCAATGACATCAGCAGCACTTTTGCTCATCACCTTGGTGATATAAAGGGGGCAGTTGGTTTGGTTGGCAATGGTTATTGCCCGGTTCACAGCCTCCGCCTCCACCTGAGAAACAAAGTCAGCAGCAAGTTAGTAGCATCCCCACATGTTGGCATATCCCGTTCACCTTCAGAGGGTCACAGCCTCTGCTTTCATGGGAACACAGGGTGTGCAGGGCCGAGATGAGAGACCTTCCACCTCTCCGATTCTGAGCCAGAAAAATGTACACAGTAATCATGATAATTAAAATGACATCAAGCTGTAGTCCCCTCTCATTACTACCTTTTCTCCCAGGCTGCTTTAAAGTTTCTCTGCAAGCAGACTGAGTCCTAAAATAACGCCCCAGGTGCTCAAGGTCAGAATGATTAAGCCCCTTCTTTAACCTAGACAAAAATAAGCAACTAAACGTTGACTCAACAAAACTATTCATGTTCCAGCCCACGCGGAAGAGAGATGCTGTAGCCACATACTCTGGTAAGCCACGTTTGCAAACAAGCCTCCTAAATTGTACCCTCCACTACAATATCTGGCTTGGGATCTGACAGAGTGTGAACCACCCCATAAATCAACTACTTTTTCTCGCATGTGTAGAGAGATAACCTCAGCAAGACTGAGGGTCACTTTGTAACTCCAGTCTTAGAACGAACATAATCACTCTGCAGACTTTTACAGATCACACATCCTAATCAAAGCAGTCCAGATAACAGATTTAACAACAGGGTAATGCTCACAGTGCCTACTACCATGGAGAACTGAGCCTGCAATACCACAGACGTTTTCCAAGCGAACCACAGAGGAAACTGAAACCCAGAGCAATCAGCCACCTGAATCCCAAATGCAAGAGGCTACCAGCACCTCCCGTGGACTCCAGTGGGACTGGCACATGCTCAGCGCTTCTGAAAATCTGCTCTACAGTGACTTATTGCAGGCCAAGCGCTGTAAACCATCATCAGTCCCAAAATCAGAATGCATTGACTGCTGGCTCCTAGCACCATGAAATCCACTGAAAGAAGTACCTGAAATTAAGGACCCATCAGCTTAGGAAACGGCTTATTCGCCACACTGATGTCCAAGTGCCCAAAACAGCTCTGCTCACACTGACGAAGCCACCACCTGTAACACTGCTCTGTTTGCAGCTGGACTGCTCAAGAAAAACAACACGACAACAAGTGGGAGTCTTTAAAAGAAAACCAGCCCCCCAGAGCCAGCAGGTTGGTCTCTAAAAGGGTTAAAGCCCCAGCCTGTCACCACACCAGAGCTTGTGACTAACCCTCCCCAGGCAGGGTGATGTACAGAAGGGGACATTTTCTGGCCCAGCTGCTCCACGCAAATGGAAAAGGCTGCAAGGAAGGGTGTTTATTCCAGGACATTTGACTCGAGTATGCCACAGCCAGCAGCACTTGCAGGGAAGACAGAGGCTGAAAGGAAGAGCCAAGAAAAGCAAGGAGAGAACTCAGACAGGCCAATGCTTCCAGGCAATGGCACCAGTTTGCAAACTGCCCATTTAAAGCAGGCCTGCGCACCGCTCTGTCACTGCAGCACCTGGAAGTCACGTTTCCACGCTGTGCCTTAGTTTCCCCACTTGCAAAGCAGGGATAAAACAACACCTCCATTCTTTTGACCAAAAAGGCATTTGAGCAACTGCTAAGCAGGATGAGAATATTTTCTACACAGAAGAGAACAAGGCTGCTGAATTCATGCCTTGTGCCCAGATGCTATGGTGACAGGCATATAACAATAACCCAACGACTAGTCCAAAGGGGAATGTTTGCAATTACCAGTATGCATTAGAAGCCCTAGCACAGCAGTTCTCTTGGAAAAAAAGACAGACATTTCCTGGAGCACTTGGACTGCTTGTGCTTTCAGCGTTTTTGTGGCTAAAATAAAAACAAAAAATGACGGATCACTCCGAAAGTCATCACAGAATGATCTGAGCTATGAGGGGGAGAGTTTTCCAGAAAGTGATGGGTGATGCTGACTTGGGATGGTGATGTCTTAATTAAGGCTCCCTTTGCTGGCTTGAACAACATGCTGAATACCGTCACCTTGGCTCAACCCAGGTTACTGAGGTGAGCAAGCTAAACCCGTGATTCAGCATTAAGCCTTAATTCATGCCTTCTGCTCAACCTGGGAATTCAGAAGATGTGCACACTCCAATTAAGACACAAATGCACATGGCCAGACCCTGAATGCTTCACTCTGACGTAAGTCTCACTGAATTGAGTGGGAGTTTTGATTTAATAAATATTTTAGACTTGTTCAACAACTCCTGCTAGTTTGCTGTAGATGGAGGTCTGAATAAAGCAACTCTTCAATAAGACGACAACCAGCATAAAGTTCTTAGGACAGGCTTTACACTCCATAAGGGGCAGCGTGAAAAGCCAATTCTAGCGTTAACAGCACCCCAGAGGGATACCAAGAAACATCTGCTCCCACCAAAGTCAACAGGAATTATGGATCTGCTGCCACCCTCAGAATCCGGCCTTTGTCACCAGCCAGCTTAAAGGGAGTTGTATGTTTTTAAAAACAGAGTTACTCCCGCGCTGGAGAAAAGGAGGGGAGGGAACCAGATGACATTGTTTCCTGCTCTGTTTCCTATGACGTTAAAGAAGGAGAATTTTGGACCAAGTGCTTCCACGCTGGGCAGACAGCACAGCTGAGTTCAGCTGCACAGGGGCTGCCCAGTGACACTGGGAAGAGGCTCTACTGGTCCTCATCTGGGGCAGCCACGTGTCCTCAGGCAGCTTTCCTTGCCATACTGAGAAAGAACACATTTCTGCAAAGTGCAGGAGACAGATGTAGCAAACCAACCAAGCCAGGGAGCCACACAGTTCACACAGTTCACACTTTAAAGCTCCTGCTCCCCTAAGGATGAGCTTTGAAGTAGCCAGACAAAACTTGGCTAGTTTGAGGGCCAGATCTCTTAAGGTAAGGAGCAGCCTTCCTTTGAAGTCAACAAAAGTTTAGGGGTGCTCCACAGATGAGCCCCCAGTGTCATGTCGGCATCTGTTCCTGCTCTCCTGATGCAAGCCAAAAAATACGTAAAAAAAGAAATGCAGGGGTGGGTGGGTAGAAGGCTCAGTGCAAGTGTTTGCTCACAACTTCCAGGAAGCAAAAAATCCCACCTCCCGGAGCCAAACAGAAATTCTGCGAGGATTCACATACTGCCCAAGTCAAGCATTTTTTTTCCCCTCCTGCGTGAAGCAACTGAATGATTTATATTCCTACTGAAATGTCTCTGGATGCAACTTGTCTGAACCAAGGGGAGGAAATAGAGAGGGAGCATGAGGGGCACGTGTGGATGATCTCACACACCCAGCTTCCCTCCGCCACATCTGGCAGTCAGCAAAGCCCCAGTATCTTGGAGGAACAAAAAGAACTGTTTGTACCTAACGAATGGACTTCACAAACCCAGAATGCCACGGTGAGATGTCTAGCTTAGAGATACCGAAAGACTGGAAACGAAGAAGGCAATGGGAACCAACCTGAAAAGCTAAGTTTTAAGGTTCTTTCTTACTCTTGAGATTTATTTTAAAGACTTAGAGGGAGTGAGAGGGATTGGGGTGCTTGACCCTAGAGAAATCAATGGGGAAGTATGGAGGTTACCTATACTGAAGTGCTGGGCTAGGATCTGAGAATCCGCTCCCCTCTCTGTACATACTTTCTGTGCCTTCAGCAAACCTCTTAGTCCCTTGGTGTAAAAAATCCACCATCAGTAAAATGTTCATCAAATATTATGGTAATGGAAGCTATGCAAGTGCCTAAGACAGAATGTCAGAATTTGGGCATATATCAAAAA